AGGACGGGGGGCTTACTCAGGGCGTCCATGACCTGGAGGTTGTCAGTGGGGTGTGTCTGCGTCTGGTGGTCGAAGCCACCGAAAGTGTAGATTTGGGTGCCCGCCGCCCAGGAGGCGTGGCGGAACCGCTCCACGCCTGGTAGGGACTTCCACTCGCAGGTCTCCGTGTCGTACATGGCGGTAGACAGCATTTTGCTTACGTCTTGCTCGCGGCCGCCCACGACGAACATTTTCGTGCCGATGAAGACGGCCGAATGCTGGAAACGCGCTTCCGGCAGCGACCCCTTCTTGACGGGGGCAGCGACCCAGTCCCAGCTGAGGTCTCGATGCTGCCGCAGCCCCCAGACGTCTTTCATGGGCTCGTTGTTGGTGGTCCGGCCCCCAAATATGACCAGCATGCCGTTCGCTGGGCCATCGCGACATACGTCCGCCGAATGGTACACACGTTCCGGCGGCTTCTTATCCCCGGGAGGAATGTGGACCTGGTTCCAAAGGAAAGGACTCTGGACCACGTCCATATACCAGATATCGTTCAAACTTTGTTGACCGTTGTTTCCTCCGAATACAATCAGGTTCGGCTTATAGTAGTTCATCGAGTGGCCGTAACGGCGACCCGGAGTGGGACCGCTGATTGGCACTGTCATCCACGAGATCGTCTTGGGGAATTTCCGGCAGTCGAGCAAATAAAGCTCCTCCGTACTCAACGTACCGCCCCCTGTAGCACCCCCGTATATCACCATCTGCATCGTGTCCACGCGCGCTGCCCCGTGAGCCGCTCGAGCGCGAGGAGGATTCTCCGCCTCCAGCTTCGACCACGTTTTGTCAGTCAAGTTGTAGTGGTAACACTCATTTGTGATCTGGTAGTGACCCGTATCACCCACCGCACCTCCAAACAAGATCACCGAATTAGGCCCTATCAATGTTGTGGAATGTCCGAACCGCGGAGCTGGCAAATCATGCTGGCTGATTGATGCCGAACTCACTCCCACCGTGGACATTTTTTAATGCCACTCCGCCAAGCGATCAGACAGAGACAAAAGCACGAGTTCGCACTCCCTCTCGGACTGGCACTCGGCTTCTGGACCTTCTTCTATAAGTTCGTCGGCGACCGAGTAACCTGCAACCAACTTTCATCCCCCCGCACGGTTCCCTCACACAACTGAGCCTACCCCTACTAACTGACCTCACCCTCACCAACTGGCCTAACCCCCTAACTGAACCTCTACTGCCTGCGCCGAGGACGCCGTTCAAATTTAACTCTCAGGTGATTCTCAAATTCCTACCAGAAGATGTTCGCGGACCGATAGCCGAAAAGAAACAAGGGGACCCCTGCTTCGAGAAAATGGTACGTAGCTTATAGCTCCCCCTGACCACACACACTGTGGCCCTGGCCTGGCACCGGCAGATAATGGCCCTGGACAGTTCTCTCTGCAGTGCCGCACAAACGGAACCGCCTTTTTCCACGCTATACTGGTCAGCCCCATCATGATCCTCAGCTTGATGCGGCTAAAGCACGACCGCTACTGGGGCGAATCCACCGTATTTGACGCCGTCGCGGTGGTCGTTGCCGGCTATTTCGCCTGGGACCTAGGAATCTCCATCCTCCAGTACAAGGAATATGGATTCAGCTTCCTGCTACACGCCGTGATCTGCCTTTCCTGCATGATGCTCCACTTGCTCGCAAAAGAAATGCGGACGTCCTGGATTATTGCCGGCATGATTGCCACGGAATGCTCCACGATCTTCCTACACCTCCGGTGGTTCATGATCCAGGCTAAACTCACCCACCGACTCTACTTCAAAATCGTCAACGTTCTTTTCATGCTCACCTTTGCCAGCTACCGCATGTACTATGTCGCGGTCATTGCGATATTCCCGTACACACGACATGTCCTCACACACAAGAACTTCGGCCTCAACCGGCTAGACGCATTCCGCATCTGGTACCAGGTAAGACATCACTGCACCCGGCGACGCTCACCATCATCCCGGCAGATGGTAACCTCGTGGCTGTGGCTCGGACTTCAGTACTATTGGGGATTCGCGCTGGTGCGTAGCCAACTTTCCCAAATGACTAAACGCTGGAAGAAGCGGGACTAATCTGGACGAGACATAATCGATGCTGAAGCCAGAGACTGAGGAAGCAGATGGAAGCTTAACGGCGACACGACACGACACGGCACGACACGGCACGAGGACTGTTTAAGACCAGATTAAAGTTTGAGGACAGGCAGCTTCTCATGCCACAAAACGTCGTTGTCATCAAAGCCCAAAGCACGACGCTGCTTCTCCGTCAACGGCTGATTGTCTGGCTGGGGCTCCAGACTGCTGAGGTAACCAAGACCTCGCCCTTTCAACATCTGATAAAACTCCGGGTTGCGGTCCGAGTGAATGACTGCTTCCACGTCCGTGTCATTCGCCATCTTAGCAATTTTGACCATGAAGTCGACCACGCACTACGATCAAGAGTGTATTAAATAATCGAGAAGAAGACACAAGGAGCATGCAGCAAGCAGAAAATTGTCAGACTATGTACAGAAGCAAGACGATGCAAAAGCACTTACGTTCTTCACGAGCCATGGTATGATTCCCTTTAGGATACTCATGCTCATTCCTGGGTCCAGCTTGGCAAAGAGCTCCACGCCCGTGACTTCTTTCTCCAGCGGGTGAATGAAAAACGCCATTGCGCACTTGGGGATTCGCGGAATTTTGGGGAGCGGTTCAGGAAGGGGAAGTTCGAAAACCGTGGCCTTCCCAGCGGTGAGGGGCGGGTTCTTGACCAGCACTATGATCTGCCCAATTTCGTCCAGCGCGTCGATACCTTCACAGTAGGCGAGTGTCTCGCGCTTGCGAATGGGCCACGGCATATCCGCGATGTAGCTCAGCAGATAGGACGCGGTGCCGAACTTTTTCAGCAAATTCACCTCGGAGCAGTATGGCAGCCAATTTTTGAAAGCAGCGACGTCGTCGAGCACGAGCACCATTTTGATGAACGAGATCGGCAACTTGCACCGCACTTTGACACTGACATTCCCGTCGGAGTGCATCTTGTACGCCAGAGACAGCTGCGGCTTCTCGTCCGCGACCCAGGGTTCATCCGGCTTGCCGTTGGCCGTCTCGCCGTGTTTCCGGCGATACTTGATCTTTTGCCCCATTTTTTTAACGCTCCTGCTCATGCTGCGTCTGAACCCCTTCTTCTTCACATCCACCGCAGGCGCAGATGCGGGCGCAGACTGAACGCGCAATGCGTCGTCCGTGATCGTAGCCCCGTACTCGCCGATCACAGCATTCCACTTGTCCACCGTCGGCTGTCGCATCAACGACAATGGGTGAAGGTCGAAGGACACCCGCTGGGCGAGGTCGAACACACTTATGACGTCGCCAAAGCAGTTCCACCGCTCTTGCAAGTCTCGCAGCTCCGACGACTGACAAAAATCCACTAGCGACTTAGCCGAAGCCAACAAACGCTCCAGTTCCGCGGGCGAGCTGTTCTGCTTCACATCAAGCAGTATGTCTGCACCACCGCCGATCTCCACCAAAACCTCGGCGGGAATCACTGTCTCAAGGAATGGAAGGTTACCATCCACAGGGAGGATACACGACGTGGACGCCCCGATTTCATTGAATTTCTTGTCGGACCCTTCTAGAACAGCTTGGGCACGTTCACAATCAATCCGCACCAACCTAGCAAGGATGTGCGCCTTCAGTAAGGCTTCCGTTTTGATCCAGGTTTTCACGTCATCAGCGCATAACTGGAGCACGTCAAACCACTTCTTCAGGAAATTCATGCGCATCGATGGGAGCGACTGTGCTGAGGCCAATGGTTGTGGAAGCACTTCGCTAACCAAGGCGATCGGGACACTCGCCTGATCTGGCCGGAGCATCACACCTATCTTAGCATCAGGAGAATCCAGATTTTCGGCCGCCGATTGGAGTGGATCTTCTTTCAAAGTCTCCGCTTGCCGGATCTGGACAACTGGAGTTTCCTGAATAGGCATCTCAGCGTTCTCTGCGGGGAAAGGGGGTGGCTCGGCTTCCCGCTTCGGATCTATTGAGCCTGACCGAGAGGTTGCGGGGGCGGGCGAACCCTGCATGCTCGCTGTGCTGTCCATAACGGTAGGTGAATCTTGCTTCAATAGAGTCGCATCAATATCCACGGCTTTCGGTACCTGCTCAGAAGCCGTCGCCCCCGACGCAATGGGCTGCGTTACGAGCTCAACCGGTGGCGCTGGCGACTGAACCGGTTCCGTTATCTGTTCAGCCGACTTCGTGCCCTGTTCTCCCGACGGCGATGATGTCAAAACGATGTTATCTCCCGATTCTCTAGCACTAAGATTCCGACTTTCCAAGTCTGAGGGGGTTGCTGAACGCAGAGAAAAGACTCGTTTCACCGTCGAATGACGCTTGTCCAACCCAGATTGTGAAACTCCAATGGTCTGCGAAAAAAATGTTGACTGCTGCACCGCAAGCTTACCTGGCCCAAAGCATCGCCAACTTCCGGCTGAAGCACAACCGCCACCACATGCGTCTCTTCTGTGCAATATATCAATTAGCGTTCCTGGGAGCCTACCAATGACCGGGGCAGCAACGGACGGTGCCTCTTTAGCAGCTTTAGAGCTTTTGCATCCACATATTGTCATCTTATTTATGCAGCGCACACGTGTGCGCGAGCGCCCCGATAGAGATTTAAGCGTTGTCTCTAGGTCAAATGCCTAGAAGCTCGGCGCATCTCAGGTTTCTAGTCCTCTTCGTGGCAGCGGGCAGAATATAGAGGATGGGAACGGAACCATTCTCTCAAGTCAGCGGGAAGAGCGTGAAATAACACGTGCCTAGCGACGGTATCGTCAAATCGCCTTTGTCTTACTCTAAGCCCCCAAAGAAGATTGTCCGTAAGGCTCTCCAGCCATGGATCTCCTTGTCTGCATTCTGCACGGCGAATAACTGTCAGTACAGATGTCGATGTTTATGTTGGTATTAAGCTTACGAGGCATCGGATTCGCAGAAACAGCAGCGACCACGTGGTGGCCAGGTAGGACTTCATGTTTTTCATGACCGTCGAGGCTAAGCCAGACGGATTGTCTTGCATCGTCGGGCACTTTGATTCTGATTTCCACGTCGGCGGGTAGAACTAAAGGTCTCATGGATAGAGAGTGTGGACAAATGGGTGTAAACAGAATACAGGAGACACCTGGGTGGACCACAGCTCCTCCAGCGGACATGGAATAAGCCGTGGACCCCGTGGGCGTCGCAATGATTAAGCCATCGGCGGACATGGAGGTAAAGAATCGATTATTGATATAGATATCCAGATTGGCCATATTGGCTGCTGGACCACGGTCGATAGTGCATTCATTGACACAATGTCCGTAGTAAAGCGCGTCAGCTTCATGGCCATATATTGTGATAACTGAAACAACAACGTTTTATCGGTCCAAGCTTATCCTAAGTGTTATCCGATGTTAGTCCACAACGTTTTAGTACACGCCGGACTGCAAATTGGCTTTGGGGGCGGCGCTTACATAATCTGGATCGCATTTGGACGTTACATTGTTTTGATTCGAACAAGTGAGCCAATGTTGTCAGAAGTTCGTCAGCACTGAATTGGTTGATGTAACTCAGGCTTCCGAGAGTAACACCCATAATAGGGGGCACTGGTCGGTCGTCAAATAGCGAGGAAGCCCAGAGCGTAGTGCCATCACCGCCCAATGATATAACAAGGTCTATCTTCTCCTGCTGCCAAGGGCGGTTCACGTGACACCCCATTGCATCAAAGTCGCCTAGGGCCTCCTTCTCCACGAAGACTTTACAATCGTATTGCTCCGTGAGCCACAGACTGAGAACACAACTAATCGCCGTCACATTGTTCGACTTTATCCTTTTGATTAACAAAACCTGCCACGACAAAGTCTGGCTTTGCCGACACGGCTTCCTTACGTTATGTGGAATATGAGGAAAGGAGTAGGTGTTCTCTGGGCAGTTTTTGGGGCTAAGCATCGCCAGAAAAATTTTGGTGAACTATCTAGCTATTCTAGCTACCCCCTCACCCTCCTTATCGTCGTGAGCACCCGTTACCGTCGCCGCCGGCGTTGTTACGCTTGGTTTGCGAGGCGGTTAGCAGCAGACAACCATTAGCGCGGCGGTGAGTAGCGGGGCTTTAGTTGTCTGTGAGAAGGTGGGGTTGCAGATCCGTGAATACTGACTCGAGTAGTTGTCTTGCTTCGTGGCGTTTAAGCGTTTTGATCCATGGGGGGCCTCCGTTGGTCCTCATGTCGGCATAGAACTGTTTCAGCGGCTCGCCGTAGACGTCGCTGAGTTGCCACAAAACGTTTAACGTAGCTCTGTACATGTTGACGCCTCCCTCGCGGAGGGCCGGGACCAGCACGGGTCGTACCACGCGGACTGGTTCGGTCTGTCGGATGGCGAGGTCCCGGAGAGGCAGAGCGCCTCCGCTGAGGTCGACCGTTTCGACCCACTGGAACTCGTAGTAACATGTATCATGGTTCCCGATCAAAGGCAGGCCGTCCAGGTGTAGGGTAGCCGACCGTCTAGACGCCGTGGCCCAAGTTAGCGTAAAGATGTACTTGGCTATAACACGGCTTTTGAACGGGACCCTCACGTTCTTCAGACGAGGCGCCGCAACCCATAGTACTAGACATCGGTGCTCGGTCGACCGACGAATACCCTCCTGCAAGTCGTCCTTTAAAGACTCTTCCTTCAGACAAACGTCAAGCTCCAACACACCCTGTCGAACCCAAACTTTGTCCGGAAAGGTCAGCTGACACATAGGTTCTAGAAATGCGTCCCGACTCTTTCGTGATTTGCCCCCCTGAGGCAACGGCGGCCCCTCCGCCAACGCAGTCAACGGTGTGGTTCGGAAAAGCAACGGAGTGATCACAGCCTTCCGGGACGTGTTGGCTGCTGCGCTTCCTCCACCGTGTGCCTTCGGCTCTTCGCTTTCAGGTTGTTGAGCCGAAGGCGGCGCAGATCCGGGAGGCTTGATTACCGGCACTTTTACGGGGGTGTGTTTTGAACCTTTCCACTGAATACCCACCTCCTCAGCGTACGGAGGCTCCACCAGACCCCGACACATCACCCATCTTGGTGTAAGCGATTCGCATTTCTGTAACTCATTCAACGCCTCCGTCACCAAACGGAAAGCGTGGGAAATACGAGCCGTCCACTCCGCCCGCTTCTCACTCTCTAGCCAATCTAAATTGTACTTGTCGGGGTGAAGACTCGCTTGTACCTTCAGCTTGATCTTCTTCAACTACAACAGAATTGAACGTCTGTGTGTTCGCCCCCCCTTGGTCGAAAGTCTACCACGTGCCGGCTTACGACGGTCTTGTTAACTGAGTCGTAGGGAATTCCCAAAATGATGCAGGGGTCAAGAGTCTTGGATTTGATCTTTTGCTGCTGTGCTTGTGCCAGGGCTTCGGTGCTGGCTAGATAGTCGAGGATAGGAACGATCTTCTTGAGCCTGTGGTTGGCCTCGAGTCGTCGCTCTTCCTCTTTGGCAAGGGCGACTGCCTGCGCACGTTCGCGCCGAGCCTGTTCAGAACGACAGTTATTGTTGTATCGCTCGAAATGACGGTCCATCAGCTTCATCAGTTCGGGCAACGACATGGACTGGGGAAAGGCCAGACTATACGTAGCCAGCCAAGGCAGAGACAGCTCGTGCGTCTTCACGTAACGGTCCGTCGCTTTCGAGCAGTCGTGATGCCCATGGTACAGACAACTGATCAAGGCTTTCATTTCATCGACCTAAACGTCACACCACGTCGCCATCGCGCACATCGCGCTATGTAACCGTAAGCCATACTTTGAACGTCCACGGAGCTGGTGGGGCAGCGGGTAGCGCAGCAAGGATCACATCGGCTGGGGCAGGTTGGCTGGTTGGGGCAGGTTGGCTGGCTGGGGAAGGTCGGCTGGCTGGGGCAGGTTGGCTAGCTGGGGCAGGCTGGCAGGGTTACGGCGTCGGGTGCGTTGTCGATGTCTCCGATCCGTTCGAGGTTGCGTTTGAGATCGATTGCACGTTCGAGCAAAGGCTTGCTTTTGGGCGTGGTAGCGTCTGGGTCGATGGTGGCGAAGGTAATGAGTTCCTGCATCTTTTGCTTGTAGGACGTCAGGAAGAGGTTGTATATTTTGGCGAATTTGAAGGTGGCGCTACGGAGTTCCTCGAGACCGTCGTCTGTGAGGAGGGCGTCCCGTACGGTGCGGAAGAGCTCCGCGTGATGCAGGTCGGTCTGATGCAGGCGTTCGAGGCCGACGAGGCGTTGTTTGAGTAGTGGGATGGCGCTGCGCACAACCAGTTGGTCCACCTCGGCTTCCGACGGGAGGCTGGCAGAGGCGTGGGCTACAAGCGTTAAGAGTACGCCCACAAACAACCTGCCCACGACGCACAGCTGGGGGTAACTCAGCGTCTTAACCTCCACGTCCAGCGCCTCGCCCACCCCCCAGACCTTGCTGCCCACCAAGTCACACAGCAGCCGAGACAACTTGCACAATTCCACCACGGCCCGCAACTGGTTCATCGCGGTCAAGAACCCCTCCTCCGCACACACCTCCACACCCACGTCCCCACCCATGCAGTCGCTGCGCGCCAACTCGTCCCCCCCGCTGCGAAACATCGCCGTCATCTGTGCGAAGAACTGACACAGGTGTGCGGGGGACTGACACTGTGGGTGGCACACCGAAGGGTGTGGTCGTTAGAGTACAGGTTGATAGCTTACTGGTCGTTAGAGCCGAGGCCGGCGGGGGGTTCGGTAGGTGAGACGGGGATGGAGCTGGCAGTAGTGTCTTCACCGACAGTGGCGTAGGAGGAACGGTCGGGAACGACGGCGAGGCTTTCCCGGCTACATTCGATAACGAGCGTGCCATCCCGCGGACGCCGTTCCACTTCAGCTGCGCTGAGCCCTGGCGCTTGGTTCTCGTCGAACTCCGCCGCACGCAGTCGCTTGTCCACGCACTGGAGCGGTGTCGGCGAGTCCGTGTTCTCCTGCGACCGCCGCCGCTTCCGCGTCTCCAGCGGCGGCTCAGACACCCGCGGGCCTCTGCGGCATGACGCTGTGACAATGGTTATTCACACGCGGGGCATTCTCTCGGGGGGGCATTTTCTGGGCCGGGAGGGGAGCACACGTGTGTGCACACGCGTGTGTCGAGGATAAATGGGCCATGGGAGGGCGGGTTACAGTTGTTTTATCCGGTTGGTCTTGGTGTCGACTAGTGCGCATACGTTAACCAGTACCGCACGGAGGTCGTCGGAAGATTGGAGCGACCTGGCCGCTTCCTCGGCGAGTTTGGTGAACGGCGTCCCCTGTTTGTGTGTCTTGAGAAAATCAAGTATCCATCCCGGCGTCCAAGAAGCAGCCATTATAATTTTGGCATGCGGCTCGCGCTGCTCGGCTCCGTCTCAACGGCTGATCTGTCCATGACCAGCCGCCAGTCCGTCATCCGATCGCTCTTGGTGACCGACCGCCTCCCGCTCTTACCGCACCACAGCCACGAGAAACCCGTCTACTCCACGCACGACGCGCCCGCCACTCCCACCGTCACCCTCTCCGGTGTCCACTCCCATCAAGTCCCAGATCTCGTCCAGGCTTCACCGGACCGTCGCGCGACTGAGACTGAGCGGCCGTCCTCGGAGTTCTCGCGCACTACCGCGCGTTTCTACCACAACGTCCGGCGACCAGCAGCCAGCCAACCCGTCACTCACCTACCGTTCGCTAACCCACTGGTCCCCGACCGATCGGTCGTTGATGATTCAGATCAACAGGTGCCCGCCGAGTTAGATCAACAGGCTCTACTTGGAGAAGTGCCACTTCAAGACGCCGTTAGCCGACACTCTGCGCCGCTCGATCCTGCAACAGCAGGCCAATACCCAGGCATGGTTCTCACTAGCAACGCCAAACACCACACCACCTCGTTGCCTACAGCTGAAGTGCCCACTGCCGAGGTACCTACAGCAAACCTCGCCGCGTCTATTCTGCCAGCGACATCAGCCGCAGCGGGTGCGAGTCAGAAGGAGCCCGGCCGAAACCGGGGAGAGTCGGGAACAGGAAGGGAGCCTCAGGCTTCAAGACTAACTGGAGCACGGGGCATTGTACCGGTCGAGGCGTCCGGGTCGTCCGCTGAAGGACCAGCAACTGAGGCGAGACGGGTAACGGAGGAGGAGGAGGTCGGGGTGGTTAGGACCAGTGAGGTGTCCACTCAGATGAAGCTGACGTGCGACGCATTGACACACTCGTGCTCGACGGACACGTGCTCGCTGGACCGCCGATGTGCGTTGGATGGACCGGCCTGGTTCCCTTCTTTGCCGACAGCCAACGAGTGTTGCTGCCTTGTTAAGGACCTGGTGGAAGCCACGAACTTGATCTGCTTGGAAATACCCCGACCTTCACTGACTGCAGAGGGTTTCTTGGTTACGGAATCAGCGAACCGCCACCATCACCGTGGCGGCGGAATGGGAGGCGTCGTGGATGGCACCGCGGTGGACCAGATTATGAGTCACAGCACGGCAATGGAGCACACTGATCCCAAGAGCAGGATGGGTCATACGACTGTTACCCACGGCGGCAGTAATTATCTGTCTGGGTCGGAGGTTTCTGAATGGCAAGCTTCTGGTGGTATGCTTGGGTTGTCGGCTGGGTCGGAGGGGGATCCAATAAGGTCAGTGCTGGAGTCGGCTGAGGGCGGAAGGGAGTCGACGGACGGCCCGGGGCTAGTGGCGACAGGGGCTGGGATGTTGGAGAGGGGCCGTGCGGAAGCGAGTCTGACTTGCAGCTTCTTGTGTTGCCCGCGGCCGGGTCGGTTCTGCGGGCCGCAGTGTTGCATGGATGAGGAATACTGTGGCGAGAGTATATCGACAGGGCTGCCGTGTTGCAGTTCGGTGGAGCCGCGTGTGCATGACTGCTGTCTGGTAGGCACTGGCTGGTTCTGCGACCGGAGTGAGCGTTGCTGTTTGGACGAGACGGGGTGTGTGGAAGTCTGTGAGTCTGGTGGTGGACCAGTGGTTTTAGGCGCATCCGCACTCTTGCTTTCAGCGGCAGTCGGTTTCGGCTACTGGAGCTACAAACGATGCCGGAAGGACCCTGTCGGCAACCTCGTCCTAGGGCCATACGATGCCACACAGCACGAACTACGCAGACCCATTTACGAGAACGGAGACAGCCCAGCCAGTCCCGAAACGCCACCCAAAAATCGACCCACCAGAGAAGAAAGCAAGAACATGACATCCGGAGGCGTTTACGGACACAGCATCACCATCAGCGAATAAGGGCAATCAACAGAGAAGTTTGTTTCGCTCGGACACGGCCGGTCGGCAACATCAATCGACTGAGTGGTCTGGAAGGACTGGGCAGCCGGTACTGGTCTGGAAGTACCTCGTGGCCCGGTACCACCTTGCGGTCGAGCGGCCAAAGCCAATTGTGCTTCTTCGGACTGCCTCGGAGTCAGACGTGGGTGACAGACTTGAAGATTGCCCGGGTGGCAGACTTGAAGATTGCCCGGGTGGCAGACCTGAAGACTGCCCGGGTGGCAGACATGAAGACTGCCCGGGTGGCAGACATGAAGACTGCCCGGGTGGCAGACCTGAAGACTGCCCGGGGACCAGTGGTTCTGGACTTATTTATGAACGTCTGTTCATAAATACAGTTGTCATCGGAGCGACATCACCACCAGAGGATGATGTAGAGACACAATAGTTTAGCTAGACAACCCTAACCTAGTAGGGCGACATACATTATGGGAATTTGGACTTGGGAACTTGAAGACGTAAGTCTCGGTCGTCCGACGTAGCAGATCGTGAACAGGAGGGGGCTATCAGATTTTGGAGACCTTGCTCCACTGAAAAATTCTGCTCCCACTGGCTCTGATTGAGAGACGCGTGAGGGACGAGGGGCCCGGCTAAGTAGGAGATCAACAGGCCATTGCCACGAGGCCCGGAATGTCGTCCACCTTACTCAATTCCTGTAGAACTGGGATCAGCTCCCGTAATTCATTATCATGAGGGTTGCTGAACCACGACCGAACCGTGATCGCATTATTCGGTTGCAGCAACGAGCTCACAGGAGAGTTCTACCGAAACCAGGCAATGTCGCCGCGACGGGGAGGGGGTCAATAAATAAGGGGATCGGTGACCTTACGTCAAGGATGAGGACCTTTCGCGGATCACGACCTAACCTCGCCAGATCTTTGATGTAACTTGATTGCCAACAAAGGCACGAGTCCCTGTAGAGTCTTTGTGAACACAACTTTCCGGAATCCAAAATGTCTAACAGGGGTTCCGCGTACTGTCAAAAGAGAGAGTATGGATCGACGAGATATTACCTTCTGAAGACTTGCGGTGAATATGACAACTTCAAATAACTGTGAACACACTTTCAAAAATTCGTCGACACCTGAAAGGTTTGGCATGGAGGGGGGAGGGGGTGGAGCGGGGGCGGAT